GGAGCATCTGATCCTAGGATGCCATCTTCCCTGAGGCCAACTCTACTCTGCCCTTCTTGGACCCATCAGCCAGTATGTCCTTACAGGTGTAAGCTATAAGCTACACTGGTGTCTCTTGCAACTGGAAGAACTAGAAGAATCCTATCACAGAATATTTTTGGGCAGGGAGTGGGTGAGGAGGGTTAGGGAACTTTCTGGAGTAGTTAACACTGGAGTGGAGTCTTAAAAAACAAAACAAAACAAACAAACAAACAATAACAACAACAAAACCCAGAAGGAATTAGCCAGACAAAGATAGGCAGCTTCAGAAGAATGTGCAAAGCCCTAGATTAGTGAATGGCACGTAGAGGTTTGTGAATAAATCTGTCAAACAGAAATTCATCGAGTATATGTTATTTACTAGTCACTGTTAGGCACTGGAGGTAGGGAGTAGGGACAGAAAAGAAGACAACCGGGACTACAGTTGTTTTAACTATGGTTAACTGGCAATGGCACAATCCTTTCTATAAGTCAAGTAACATACTATATGGAGATGTAAAAAAATAAACACTGAAGGAAATGCATGAAGAAATTGACAAAAACACAGAAAAGAGAACTGTAAAGCAGCACTCAGCCCTTGACAAACAAGCAGATGAAGTCTGAAGAAAGAGGGTCTGGTCTAATAGGTACAGAATCTCATAGACTAATAGAAGCTAGGTTCTATACCCTTCAGAGGCATCTTTCCAAGGGCCAGTGTAATATCTTCAAAAATTAACTGTTTAGGCCACAAAGAGCTCAAAATATTCCAAAATTAGAACTAATATTATCTGCATTCTTTGATTACAATACAATAAAATTAGAAATAAGGGACAAAAGAAATACATTTTTCAAAAAAATCCACCATTTAGAAATTAAAAAGTCTCTTAAAAATCTCAGTGAATCAAAACAAGGCTCAGGTGCCTGGGGTCTAATGGCAGACTTGAGGCAGGAGCCCACCTCGCAGCCTCTGCTGAGTTGCATGTAAAAAAAAAAACCCAATTGCCTCAAGTTGACTCTGACTCATGGCTACCCTATATGTGTCAGAGTAGAATTGTACACCATAGGGTTTTCAGTGGTTGATTTTTTGGAATTAGATCACCAGGTCTTTCTTCTGAGGAATCTCTGGGTGGATCTGAACCACCAACCTTTTGGTTAGTAGCCGAATGTTAACTGCACCACCTACGAGACAGGATGGAGAAAGCTGCAAAAAATGTTGCTCCCATCCTCATGATAAGAAAAAGTCAAACAATATACAATATCAAAATGTTTCCTTACAGCCTAGAAAGCCCTGTGGGGGCAGTTCTACTCTGTCATACAGGGTTGCTACGAGTCGGAATTGACTCGACGGCACAACATTTACTGAGTGCTTACATGGAGCCAGGCCCTACTCTAAATCAGTGGTTCTCCACCATGGGGGATGGTGCCCCTCCAAAGACATCTGGCAATGCCTGGAGACATTTTTTGGTTGTCACAAGTGGGAGGAGGAGGGAGTGCTACTGCCATCTAGGGCTCAGAAGCCAGGGATGCTGCTTAACACCCTCTCAATACAACCACCTGGCCTAAAATGTCAATGGTGCCAAGGTTGGGACGCCCTGTGCTACGTGAATAAACTCATTTGATCTTGTAAAGTGAGCATTCTTTTTATTCTCATTTTACAGATGAGGTAACTAAGGAACAGAGAGCTTAAACAGCTTGCACAAGGTTACAGCTTGTAACCGGCAGCCCTGGGATTCAAAACCAGGAATCTGGCTTTAGAGTCCACTTTTTAAACTATTACACACTGTTGTCTCAATAAAAAATAATCAGACAATGGATAACTATACAAACATGTGATAATGGTTAAGCCAGTAAAGTATATCAATTAAATGGAATAGTATTATTATTGTGATATATAAAACATATGTTTATAATGTTATATTAAATAAAACTGAGGAATACAAAATTACATGTATGTGATAATTACAAGGAGATAAAATATGAGGGAAAATAGAAACATGTGATGTTTGAGTAGAGGGATAATGGTTCTAAAATTTTATGTCTAGCCTAGGGTCTAGAATATAGAAAGATGCAATGCTGTATTTTTACGCTAATAACACATGCCTTCTACGCTTGGTTGCCAACCACACCCTCCTCCTGTGAGGTATTTCTGTAAGCACGTTACACCAGTTTTTTTTACAGCAACATGTAAAAAAATTTGGCACAGTGCACTTATGAAAATATCTCATGGGGGAGGGGCGCATTTGGCAAACAAATGTAGAAGGCACGTGTTATTTGCATAAAAATACGGTAACTGCTGAATGAATGAATTTATGAACATTCTTCTAATAGTTGTCACAATAATGTACAATTATAGCAGTTCAAAATTAAATTGTCTTAAATTGGAAAACTCATGTACAACAAGCATATGAAAATATATTTAGCCCTATTTCTAATAAAAGAAATACAAATTAAAAAATTTACACAGGCATATGCTCCCCTCCCAAGAAAAAATTGATGATTTTTGTTACAAAAATATATGCTCACAACAGAATAATGCAGATAAAAAGAAAAAGAATACCTATATCACCCACAAACAGACAACCATAGTTAATCTTTGGACACAAACAGATACCGTATTTTTTGCAAATATTGCACCCATACGTATAATGCTTAGGAAAATGACGTGGGGAGCAGGGGTGGGGGGAGGTGGTGGTGTTGCTCAGTTAGCAAAAAATGTGTAATGTGCGCATTATGGACGTATAAATACAATAAACATAGAGAACCTCGAATCTGGGTGTGTGATATTACATATATATTCATAACTGAATTTTAAAAGTGGTTTATATGACATATATGATGTTCTCCCCCATCGGGTGGTATTCCAGGAACATCCTTCCATGTCAACAGATATATTTCTGCAATGGTTTTTAATGGCTACATAATATTTTGTTACACAGATGTACTATAATTTATTTCTTTGCAGAATCACAATTTCAGTAACCATTCCCCCACTGAAGGATATTATGATTGCTTCTAATTTTTAAATGATTATTCAGGTAACGAAAGGCAGGGAATTGTCAAAAAGCCACTCCAAAGTTTTTAAAAATCTCAGTAACTGAGAAAATGAATTATGTACTAAAAATCTTTGAATACTATGCTTGATAGTCACTGGAGGAAACCAAACTGCAGTCTGAGACAAAGGCTTTTAAGTTATAAAGCAAAGCAAAGAAACCAACACATTTATAAAGCTTCTCAAACTGTCCATAAGGAATGACCAAGGCTCATGGCAGACCTGGTTTCTGGACTGATGACATGAATCTACTCATTCATTTTACTTCAGAGGAAAACAGAAAAAAATTGTCTGTCATAAGATCAATAAGCCCAGAGTGAGAAATAGGTTTTCTCAAACAAACTGGGGATGATAAGGAATTTCATAAAAAACTAGAAATTCTTTCTTTTATAGACTTCCAAAAAACAGAGAAAAGTACCATGCAGTTTTTATTTTTGAACTTGATGAAAATGTGGGTGAAAGTCTTTAGAATAAGGGGATAGAAGAGATTTTTCTAAGCATGTCATAAACATTTTTACATACAAAAATTAACTCTGTATGGCAATAACCCAACAGGCTGACATAAATGAAAAACAAAACTGAGAAAAATACCTACAACATATGACAGTTAAGTTACTATTTCTTAATATACAAAGAATTATTACTAGCCAGTGAAAAATCAAAACTACACCCAAAAATATAAATGGGCAGAAGAGGTGAAAAAACAATTTTCAAAACAAATAAAAATGGCCAATCAACAAACAAAAATTGTTAAACCTTAGAGAAACTTAAAAATCCCATCCTGGTGACACTGCTTGAGCAGAGGAGAGAAGGTAAACTGACAGAGCCTTTCTGAAGGGCATTTACAACAGGTATGAAAACATGAAGGAGTCCCTGCATGATGCTGTTAACACGCTTGCTACTAACTGAACGGCTGGTAGTCTGAGTCCACCCTCATGATCTGTTTCTAAAAACCAGCCCTGGAAAACCCTATGGAGCACCGCTCTACTCTAACACACGGGGGGTTGCCGTGAGTTGGAATAGACTCCACAACTGGTTTTCTAGTTTATCAAAATATAAACAATACACATCCTTTGATTCATTCATTTACTTCTAGAACTTCACCCTAAGGAGGTAAGTGTATCTAACTTACAGACAATTATACACTGCAACATTGCACTACAATTATAATATAAAGGAAACAACCAACTGAACAACGACATATCTGTACATGCATTAGAATACTATGTAGTCATTAAAAAATGTTGACCGTAAATGCACATTTCTTGGTTTTAAAAGCTATCCATGAGATTGTAGGGTTTTCAAAAAGAAGAGGTTAGAGAATAGAATATATGATATGATCTCATTAATGTCAAATGATCACAGAGCTGTCCAAAAGGATGCCCACCCAAAAATTAAGAGTGAATTCTAATGATTTTCACAAGCTTCACAGTATCATTTGTACAAGAATAATGTTTTTTGGGGGGAGGGAGAGAGGGTTCACATTCTGACGTACTCAAGTGTCCTATTCCCAATAATAAGATGGGTTTTATCTAGTTTGGCTATCAACACCAGCTGGCTGTTTTATGTTTGCTTTTACTGTTTAGTTGCTACTTTGGTAACTCTTCTAAGCAATGATATAATACTATTTTCTATAACTGATACTTTCAAAAGTAAAGCAAATGTCATAATCTGGTAAATGGTCAATAGCTTTTTGATCAGATTTTGTGAATCTTCCACCATAAACAACCGAATGCTTCCTGACCCGCGCCACAGCCTCTCTCCCAAGCTAGACTCCCACAGCACCATAAGAATAAGAAAGAAAAAGGGTAGTGTCAAATATTCTTTTTCTTTGTGGTATCTTACTATGACAGAACAATGGAAATTGGGTTTGAAGGACTGACTTTTTTTTCCAGTAAAAATGGTGTTATCTTCTCTACAGCAACTCACTCACCTTTTAATCTAGAATCACCTCCAAAGGCACCACAGCCCCAGTTTCCCGTGGCCACTGCAGAAAGATGCTCTGAAGAAACTCCAGGGCGGACAAATCCACAGTAAGCCTGAAGGATGAAAAAAACATCAAAGCATGAGAGTGACCAAACACTGGCAGATTTCTGACTGATGTTCTAGGAGTAACAGTTATCAGATGTATCAAACAAAGAGATAGAGAAAAGCCCGGAATTATATAAGGACAAGAGTAAGAAATGACAGATTCTAACATTTATTTGTTTAATGCTAGGAAAATCAAATACCTTACACTAATACATGTCTCAGTTTCTTTTTCCAATTCAAACAAACACGAATGGAAATATCAGAGACAGTTCAAGAACTGATGGGATCCCAACCACCAACTCCATGAGCTAAAGTGGAAGAAAGGCATTTGTTACAATACTTGGTTTTGACGGTTTTGACGACCATTTTCTCATCAAGGCAAAGAATTACTAGCAAGCTTTCTCAGCACCTCTCTCTCTGAAGTATTGGGACTAGATTAATAACTGTGATTAGCTTTTAAGGGTGTTTCCTGCAACAGAAATGCTTAACAAAGAGCAAGCAACCACCTATAAAAAGGATTCCTGTACTGAGTAAAAAATAACCTTCAGATCCTTTCCAGCTCCAAGTCTCTAGTTTCACAGTTCTGTTTTAAGCTAAATATTAAAAAATTTGTCAGTACCCTGAGAAAAGTACAATATATCCCAAGGATGCTGGCTGAGTATTAATTACATGAACAGCTGATTTTGTATATGGGTTTATGGTCTCAAAGTTTCTGATTTCCATTTCTTTGCTGCCAGCATAGTTGGCCTTTCTGCCCCCTAAGGCTTCCTAGTTTTCTGAAACTATCGGACCATATTAAAAGGCTTGATATAATAGCAAAGCAAATCTACCCTGGGTTCTCTCAAGGACCAAATTAAGCCTAAAATATAGCTTATGTATAATAGTAAATAAAATAAAAAGAATGATCTGTGATAAATGTTTCCAGGGAAAAGCCCGGGACAAAGAAAGGTGCTTCTTTGAAACTCACACAGAAATACAGTAAATTGCTCTCTGAATTTTTCACAAAGGTATAAAAATTTATTGTACACCCTGTCTGGATGGATTAACAAGGCTATTCCTTCCACCCCCTCCTAGATTGTAAATCCTGACAGATATTAATTGTAAGTTGGTACCAGACCATTATTCAATGCTTCTGTTATGGAGCTTATAAAAGAACTCACAAATTACCTGCATAATCCGATGCATGGAGCTTCTGAAAATCTCTTTCAGGTCAAAAATATCAGCGAACTCAATTTTTTTTAGCAGGTTCTTCAAAGATAAAAGAGTTGCTACCATGATGCCAACAAAGGAGATACAAACCTGCTGTCAGAACAGACATACCTTTGCCACTTCACTTCCTGTCAAGTTCTTCTAACTCGTCTGGATGACGAGGAAGCTTTCCTAACCTCCTAGCTCACGTCTCTGTTTCATACCATTAAAATGCCTTTTTAGCCTTTTCCTTACTGCTGTCTCTATATAACCGGGTTAACTTTACTTCAATGAGCAAACACATCTTAGTGAGACTAAAGACGAAAAATGGAGAATTACTTGAAGCAAAATCAAAGTATTAACCAATTTTCCTGAAATTTTCTTGAAAAATGGCCATAACAAAAACAAACTACAAAACTGAAATTAAGCCATATTTAATGTTCTAACCAAATAAAATCAAATAAAACTGTAAAACGTTAATCAAATAGAAACAGATGATATAAAAACGATGGCAGGGTAGTTAGGTATAAACAATAAGTGGTTGTAATTAATATGAATTCTTTTACTCTGCTAAAAGTAAGTATTTCTAAGGTCAGAAATAAGAGACAGAGAATCAGTAAGCTCCTCTGAGTCCCCTTTAAAGGGACAACCAAGTCCTGTCCCTTCTTTGGTAAGCGGAGGTATGTATCTCTTAGATGCTGGCGATCGGGCAGGGCCACAAGTCAGGGAATCATTTCCTTTTACAGTAAGAACTGAGCTCCTCACTCGGGAACAAAGATCAGATAAAGGTACTGAGACCTCAAAAGAGCTGCCAGGTTCTCACTTCATAGGAAAAGGTGCTAGGAGTTCTCGAGGGCTCCACACAGATAAACATGTTTCTTTTTCCCTACCAGAGCCAGAGTACTCGAGGACAGTGATGAGAGGGGTGAGAACAAAGGAAAGCCAGCTCCAACTCTATCCACACCCCAACCCGACTGTCCACAATGAAAGAGCAATTTATTTTCACTAATAACTTTAAACGGGGGAAAAGAAGCAGCAATCAAACCTCAGAACAGGAAGTAGAAGATGCCAATACCAACATACCTATATCTCACAGTGTTACACTGAAGAATAAGCTTTGACGGGAAGGGATAAAGAGGAAAAGATAGAGCAATTTTGGAGTCCTAAAGGCTGCAAAGAGGAGCTCTGAGAAGCAAGAGGCAGGAGGAAATATTGGTATCTAGAGTTAAAAACTAGAGAGCAGGAAATGGTGAAGATAGAGATGCAGGAAAGAAGCAAAGAATGTGGAAAAGGGACCAAAGAAAACAGGTGTAAAAACCTACAGGCCCAGAACTGGGCCTAGGAAACAGATGGCACTTATGGGAAGAGCCTGTCACAAGTATCCACACATGCATGTACACATACCCACACCCACACATGCACAAGTAAGAACTCTGGCTTCAGCATGAATTTTAGCAGGCCCAACTAAATATAATTAAACTACATTTCATTATCATATAAATACATTAGGTTAATAACTTAACAATTACTGCTCCTAAAGAGTTGCTTATTTATATGAAGTGACCACACTATATTTGTCTAACTTAATATACACTTGGTACTGACACTTATTTCTTGAGGTTTTAGTATGGATTTCATAAAACAAACATGATATAAAAGGGCCTTTAATGATGTTTTAGAAGGTAAAGTAATAGAAATCAAGAGTCTTAAAATTATCCTTGGATTCAGTGTTAACACTTTTATACATTTTCTTCTAATGATAGCAAAAAATGGTCAACTGTACAAAGACCACACTATCAATAATAGAGAAAAACTTGGAATTACCTAATTATTAAAAAATAAGATAGTTAAAATCAGACTATATCTACTCAACAAATTTTATGACCATTAAAATTCTATTATGAAGATTATTGGGAAGAATGAAAAAATTTACAATACAGGGGCAAATGAAATAAATAGGTAAAATATAAAATTATAGGAAACTTTTGAGCACATCTATATTAAACTAAATATTCATGAGCAAAGATCTACAAAATGAAAACAACTGTCTAAAAGGGAGGGTTTTAGATCACCTTTTTATCTTTAAAGTAATTGTAATATTAGTAAATACTAATGCTATTTTAAAATGCAATATAAAATGGGCCTCAGTTTCCTCATGTGTAAAATCAAAGATTGGATTAGGTATTTCTACGGTTATTCTGATTCTATATATTGAAGGACTTAAGGGAAGACTCAATAGGAATGATACTTTCTGGGCAAATATTCCTGAAAAGTAAAGTGACACATACTTAAGAAAATATTATGAATGATTAGATGCTGAACTTCTTAGAAATATCAGCGGCAAGTATGATTAGATTTGATCAAGCTCTGGTATAATAACAACCCCTTTCCAAATTTGGGGTGGGTAATAATAACAAATCAATAAAAACAAAAAGCAAATGGTGGTGATTCCCTCCACGGGCAGTATCGCCTCTTTGTTCAACTCTGATCCAGAAGCCTCCATGAAATATACTCATTATTTAATCTTACCTGAATGAGCCTAGGAGCCCTGGTGGTGCAGCGGTTAAGAGCTTGGCTGCTAATCAAAAGGCTGTAGTTCGAATTCACCAGCCTCTCCTTGGAAACCCTGTGGGGAAGTTCTATTCTGTCCTATAGGGTGGCTGTGAGTCAGAATGGACTCCATGGCAAAGGGTTTGGGTATAGAAATGAGCCTAATATGGCTAAACACAACTCTTCAAAGCTGATTCCTGTCTTCCCATGCAGAGTTACTTGCCGCGTTTGCAGGCTGGAGTCATAAATCTTTCCAACCACAAAGAGAATTCTCTTCTAGAATGTCATCTAGCTGATCTCTCACAGGATTAAACACTGCTTCACAGTATCAGTCAGATAAAGGGAGACTGATTCTTCCCTTTTAAAAATCAACTCTACCTGCAAGCCACGATGTGGGTCCAAAAGGCTACAGAGCCTGGATGGAGTGACTCTTTCAAGAGGTAGTAAAGTGCTTTGCGGGACTGCCCTTTCAATTATTATCCAGTGAATAATGCCTAACAGTAGTAAACAGGCCTCTAGAGCTCAGAAGTCCATACTGAATTCTGATGGTCAAGCTGGTCTTAATGCGCTGTTGCTTGATTTAGAAAAACGCAGTTTCTATTCCTGCCCACTTTCTATCTAGCACGTAAAAAAAAAAAAGAGAATCATGCAAGTCATCCCTGAAGAGATTTAATAGAGACTTGTGCTTTAGACCTACATGTGCAGAACATAATGAGATGGAGAACATTTAGCTTAGTATTCTCTCCAAGTTGTGCTGCCAGTTCATGTAAAGTTCCCTGTTGCTCGTACTAACATTCATAATTCCATTTTAACAGGAAAATGTAATTAATAAACGATGGAATGCTTTCATCTAGAAGGTCCAACGTTATTTGGATTAGTTTTCTAATTATGTAGTCAATAACAGTTAACAAAAATTATTTATTGCTTTCTCCTTCTTCAATAAAAAAATTAGAAAACAAATTCCTTACTAACAGAACAATTTTGGAGGGAATAAAGCAGTGAATGAGAGGATACACATTTACCAAATGCCTTCCCAGGTGCCAGGTCCTGAACTAGGTGCTTACTCAATGTTGGCCCAGGCGTTTAATATGGCTATATACCACCTGTGGTGTTTCCTTGTCTCAGAGGAATTGAATAAATAGACTTGGGGGAAAATCTTCAAATTCTTTGAGAAAGTATACCTTCTGAACCTAGGATTCAAACAGAATAGGATACTAAGAAAAGCATTTAACACGTACCTGGCTCACAGTGAGGAATAAGATTGAAAGAAAAGAGGTGACCCAGGCATATGCTGGTAGGAAGGAGATCATGTGTTGACCAAATGCAGGGAATATTTTCAACGATTTGATTGAGCCAGGTAAAAAGTCTGTATGTTAAGTGGACTTGGACCGCCTAGCCGTGTAATCTTGGGCAAGTTATTCAACTTCCTGAGGCTCAATGCAATACATGGAGTCTCTAAATGGGAAATAAGAACAGTACCCACACCTCACTATGTAGAGTGGCAGATGCGGTGAGCAATCATTTAACGACAGCGATTACTTTTACTACTGTTACTTGTATAACCAAAAAATCCCCAAAATCTACCTGCATTTGACTGAAAATAACCTTTTAAGAATTATAAATTAGACCTAACTGCATATCGCCATCAATGATGGCAGGCTGAAAACAAACACAGAACTGCATCACTGTATATTAAAGATCAACCCATCCGCTTCAGATGGTCCCATCTGTTGTTGTGCACTTGATGTGACACTGAATTTACTGAGCTCTAAATAAGGACTTGAATGTTGTTGTGGTGTGCTGTCAAGTCAATTCCGAATCACAGCGACCCTACAGGACAGAGTAGCACTGGGTCTCCTGGCTGTAATCTTTATGGGTGCAGATCTCCAGGTCTTTTCTCCCGCAGAGCTGCTGGCAGATTCAGCCACTGTACCACCAGCGCTTCTTTTGCTTGAAGAATAGGAAATATCAAACAATTTGTAACACTGATGATTTGAGATAACGTACCTATGTAATTTCTAAAAAGTTTATCTTAAAAACTGAGTTAGCACTGTCTAAAAAGTTATTTAATTACTCACTGACTAATTCATTGAACAGTTAATTTTTGAGAAGCTCCCACAAGCCAGGCAGTGTCCTGGTCACCGACTACTCGAATGAAATAAAACTTTTTCTCTTGCCAGGTTATTTAGAGACTCATTCTTCTTGTATAAAGTGTGTATCACAAGGACCCTACATTCTACAAATAAATGTTTTTCAATATTGGTAATACTTACAATTAATTTAATCTATTCACGTATACCAAAGCTTCAAATCTTTAAAAAGCCTTGTGTCTTTGAGGACAGGGAACTGAAGGTTAGTCCTATACAAGTAAATGATCTAGCTCCCGCAGAGAGATACAGACGTTATCCATTTAAAAAAAATCAGCATTTACATTTGTATTAATATGTGACTATGGCAAAATGTTTTTGTTTTATTTTCCTTCTCTTATATTTCTCCCCAAACTACCTACTGCTTATGTAAATGTCTTTTAATATCAGTGACCATGTGAAAAATTCACACCTATGCACTTAAAAGGTAACACTTTATAACAGAAACAGTATCACTCGCAAGTAATGTGCTCTCTTAAACAATCAACTATATGAGACCTAACAGTCAATATGTACCCAAAAGCAAAGATGGGAAGGCAAGGAGGGGAAGGGAAGCTAGATCAATGCAAACAGAACAAACAGAATGGAAATAATGAGAATGCTGGCACAGTGTGAAAATTGTAACCAATGTCACGGAACAATCTGAATAAAAATTGTTAAACGGGAACCTAAGTTGCTGGGCAAACTTTCACCTAAAACCCCATAAAATATTGAAAAAAAAAAGTAACACCTGACGAAAATCTAATCTTCATATTCAACTTGATATGCTACATCATAAAAACATCATGGGCTTGTAGACAACTGCTTTAAAGCAAGAGTTTTGGAATAGTGAAAGCAGGCTTGCATTTAAAATGTACCTAATTACTAGTAAAAGATAACTCTTCTGTATAGGCAAACTCTGACTTTCAGAGTCAGGTAAGAGAGAGAAATCTAGAACTGTTGACATACCAAAGAACAGTGTTTCTGAACAGCTTTTCTGAGGAATTACTTTTTTTTTTTAATAAAATATGTCTATTATATATAAGTTCAACTTTGGAAAATAGCACATTATTCTTCAAACTTTTTATGAAATTCCTTTGATAACGCCAAACATTAAAACAATCTAATAAATTATATATAAGAAAGCATGCTCAATAATAAATTAGATTCTCAAATGGATTAAAATATAAGATAATATACATACAGTAATTATATTTAAAATACCTACTAAATTATAAGTGTATTAAAAGCCTTTTTATATTATTTGACTGTTTATTCCACTAACAACATGCAAGGCAAGGCTGTTGAGCTGGGAGAGCACCACCAACAGATTACTTTCATGGTAAGAACCAGGGAAAAGATGTGAAGACAATGCATTTACTGTCAGACTCACTGATCAGAGAGGACTCGCAACCCCCTTGCAATGGTACACTCCAGTCTGCTGTCATTATTAGTCTTTATGTAGGGACTGACACAGGATAGCTATGCAAAACCATAAACCTCATGATGTTGATCAATAATCTAATAACCAAATGCTATTCATGGGAGTTAAACAATGGTTTTCAGAACTGGGTCAGTCTTCCTGGCTGCAAGAGTATTTGAGGAACTAAAAAACAAACCAAAAAAAAAAAACACCCAAAACTCAGATGTGCTGGTAAGGCCCAAAATCCGCACTCTATTTTATGATCGAGGTTATTTATTATGGTTAACAATAGTGAAAATATGAACCAACAATAGGTATGGCTCATTTTTATATTTCTGTAATACAATTACAAGAAAATGATTATATATTAGCACTGTCACTGAAAATCACAGATTCTATCAAAAATATGTCAAATCACCAAATCAACAATTTACATTTCTCTCTAGTGTCTATGAATTTCACTTATAATAGAAGAATATTACTTGACTTTTTTGATTTATCTGTTTTAATCCTGATAGTATACCTGTTAGAGAAAACACTGCTGGGCAGGTCTGAAGAAAATTTTCAGAGTTCATTCATATCTATATGGTTTTAAAATGATAATGTTCAAAAGCGGCTAAAAATACTTGAGATAAATATATGTGTGGGGTTTAATATCCAGCAGCAGTAGATCTGGCAGCCTCTGCCAGTAATCAAACAATTACGAAATGGAAAGTACATCTTGTACAAGCTGACAAAGCCATTAAATCAGGAGAGCTGTTGGCAGACTTATTGACACTGCAAGAATGACCAGAAAGCATTAATTTCAACATTAATAAAATGGCAGTCCATGGATGACAGCTGCCAGAGGAACTAAGAAATAAGGTTACTGGCCTTGTTAAGCTCGCGTCTGATTTTCTCTGGCACGAACTGATCGAGGTAGCGTCTGAAGTGAAGTGCATCAATGGCAACAATCTCAGTGCAGCGTCTCTGCCAGTCGTCCCTGGACAGGACAGAGAGGAGAAAGACGAGAAATGGGTGAAGCTACACACAATAACACCCACACATGGGTTGGTTTCGAGACTGTGGCAGTGTCTGAACAATGAACGTTCAAAAGTATTAAAAGAAACAAACAAATCAGTGTCCACAGGTCTCAGCAGGAAGCACCATTTTATTTTTAGATTCAGAGGCATACACATTGTGGACTGTCAGGTATTAAACAGTCAACGAAAACTTACCAAGACACAACACAATACGACACGCTGCACACAGGAACATCACGTGCAGTGAGTCTCAGGGGTTAAAGGATTTGGGGGCAAACAAAAGGAATTCAATTCTTTGTTCTCCTCTGTAGAGACATGGCATTTGCGTCTCCACAAGAGCTCACTCCTCTACTTTTAGAGATCTGATGGGTTTGTAACATCACCACATACTGTCCTGGAGATGATTCTAAGAAGTCAAGTGTCAGAAAGAATGTGTAATGATTCAACACAACACTCTACCTACTGTGCTCAACTGCCAACTGTGAAAAACTATCTTTAAAAAAATGGTTGAAGATGGCACAGCAGACAATAACACACTGCCTGTGAAACAGGAAGGTCTGGATGAGATAATTTTAGAAATGTGAAATTCCAAATATTTCATTTCTTTATTAACTTTCATATACTAACATGCCAAGCAACTTTTTACACTGAAGAATAGTAGTAGAAACCTTCATGTTAGTCTGTAAATAATTACTAGGAACAAACATCTATGTAAATAATTGTTTGCTGTAAATACATATTTTAAACAAAATAAAGGGAAAAAGAAATCAGGGGTTGGACTTAAGACACAACAAAAAATAAGTCTGTGGCACAGACATGGTTACATGGGGAAGAGCTGACTCCTTCTGCCACTGTGGCATAAAAACACATGCTCTCAGGCAGCATTTTGGCGAAAATTTACCCCTAATAAAGCAGACAATTTAGTGTGGAAGCAAGGAGGTCAACGTATAAAAATGTATTTCAGTAAGAGCTAGGAGATGGCAGTAGCAAAGCTCACTGCAGGCTCTGCTGTCAGCTGGTTTGTGGCTTAGGCAAATCGTCCCAACGTGGGTTTCTCCCATTTACCTAATCTAATAGTTCGAATTAGAACCTATTCTAATCAGATTTGGAAGTTAACCTCCACTGCTTCCAACTGGCAGCTTAGAGGTCAAGAACTGTAAAGAGCTCTGCCCTTATGAGCTAATTTGGATAGGTTTTTGGTTTTTATTTTCCTTTTGATACATGGAGAGGGTAATATTGTCTTAGCTGGCAATGAACCTGTAATACTGAGTTTAAGAAGAAAGTTCAATGGCGCAGTAAGTGTAGATGGAGACAGTTCAACCAGGGTCAACCCACGTCCCTTGTCTTGTAGCCAGGCAGTACTAAGGTCAGCCACGACTCACCTCTCACTCCCATCTTGGTGGCTCTGCACCCAGCGGTACGTTTCGGCATAGCCCGTGTACTCACTGTACTGTTCAGTACCTGAAACAAACCATCCGTCAGTACCGCTGTCAGGGAGGTTTTCCTTAAAACCGGCGCCTTCTACAGAGTCATTGTAAATAAACCTATTCCTCCTGTCTGAAATTATCTCACTGACAAATGTCTATTAAAAACAAAAGCAAAACAAAACCCCAGTCTTAGGGACTTGCTATTATTTCCGTCAGACACCGTCAAAAGCCACTATACTGTTTATCATATAAAGAGTGACTGAATGCATCAATCAACATAGAAAACAAAATATGCTCTGTCGTAGTCATTGCTTTTTTTGGATGAGGAATGCATAAAAACTGTGTTTTACAGAAGTCCACTGTTCTCAATGTCAGTAATCTGATAGTAATATCTTATTTATATTGTTGAGAAAAGAAATTCTACACAAATACATTCCCTGCTAAGAAAAGTGACATTAAAATTAAGCCAAGGAGCTGCCTATCAACAGGCAAGGTACTTCAAATGACTTTGTAAAGCCAGGATATTATGGCATGAGAAGTGAGAAAGGGAAAAAGCATAATTACCATCCATTTGATGAGAATGTGCACCAAAAGCTCCACAGAGCATAGATTTCTAACTCATCAGGCCTGGGCATATCAGCAGGGATGGTGTCATAAGTGCTCCACTATCACTAAGTAAGTTCATTCCAATTCCTGCGGTCAACTTAATAATCACTTGACTTTTCAAAACTCAACAGTGCAATCAAAAGAAAAACTGAAAACCCTCAGCAAGATATTTTTACATATTAAAAAAAAGAGGAAGAAGCAAAGCAACATTAAAAAAAAGAGGAAGAAGCAGAGCAACATTGAGAACTATGATTCAAGTTTTCTTTTTTTTTTTTTTTAGCACAATTGCCCTAATCCTGGCAGTAAATAAAATGCAGGCAGACTGACCATTTCAGACAGCTGAACTATTTAAAGTTTCAAAGTATATAAAATATATAATTACAGATTAAATATAAAGGGAAAAAGAGTAACCTGACAGCGGAGAAACCTGGCCTTCACCTTTAACTAAGTCATGGCACCTAACATTGCAACTATCGGAATTAACCGACATCACCTGTTTCCTCAAAAGATGGACTGATTAGGACACATCATCACTCCTATGGAATTCTTGCCGTAAATGAATTAACCAAATCTAATAATGAAGAAACATTAGGCAAACCAAAATGAGGGACAGTCTACAAAATAATTGGTTTATATGCTTTAAAACATATCAAGGCGAACAAACACAAGGAAAGGTGAGAAACTGTTCCATTTAAAAGACACGTGACAACTCAATGCAAGGTGTGATCAGGGACTGGATCTTAGACTGGGGAAAAACAGCTACAAAGGACATAACTGGAGTGACTGACAAAATTAAAATTCGGACTCATAGTGATTCTATAGGATGGAGGAGAATTGCCCCATAGGGTTTCCAAGGAGCAGCTGGTGGATTCGAATTGCTCTTAACTGTGTGCCACCAGGGCTCCTAAGCCATCCTAGCAGGAGTGAAGTGGTATCTCATTGTGGTTTTGATTTGCAATTCTTTGTTGGCTAATGATGTTGAGGATCTTTCCATGTGTCTGTTGGCCATTTGAATATCCTCTTTAGTGAAGGGTTTGTTCATGTCCTTTGCCCAGTTTTTGATTATTTGTCTTTTTGTTAATTGCAGAACTTTCTATATGTTTTTAGAGAGTAGACCCTTATCGGTTATATCATCAGCACATTGCTTTTTTTTTTTTTTAATTGTGCTTTAGGTGAAAGTTTACAGCTCAAGTTAGTTTCTCATACATAAATTTATACACACATTGTTATGTGACCCTAGTTGCTATCCCTATAATGTGACCGTATAATCCTCCTTCCTACCCCAGTTTCCCATGTCCATTCAACCAGCTCCTATCCCTTTCTGCCTTCTCATCTCACCTCTGAACAGGAGCTGCCCAATTAGTCTCGTGTATTTACTTGAACTAAGAAGCACACTCTTCACGAGTATCATTTTATGTCTTACAGTCCAGTCTAATCTCTGTCTGAAGAGTCGACTGTGGGAATGGTTTTAGTTCTGCGTTAACAGAGAGTCCAGGGGCCATGTCTTCTGGGGTTCCCCCACTCTCAGTCAGACCATTAAGTTTGGTCTTTTTACTAGAAGTTGAGTTCTGTACCTCACTTTTCTCTTGTTCTGTCAGGGACTCTCTGTTGTGTTCCCTGTCAAAGCAGTCACTGGTGGTAGCCAGGCACCATCTAGTTCTTCTGGTCTCAGGCTGATGGAGTCTCTGGCTTATGTGGCCTCTTTTGTCTCTTAGGCTAATATTTTCCTTGTGTCTTTGATGTTCTTCATTCTCCTCTGCTCCAGGTGGGTTGGAACAAATTGATGCATCTTAGATGGCCTCTCACTAGCTTTCAAGACCCCAGATGTCACTCACCAAAGTGGGATGCAGAACATTTTCTTAATAAACTTTGTTATGCCAACTGACCTAGATGTCCCCTGAAACCACAGTCCCCAAACACCCACCCCTGCTACACTGTCCCTCGAAGTGTGTGGTTGTGTTCAGGAAATTTCTTAGCTTTTGGTTTAGTCCAGTTGTGCTGACTTCACCTGTATTGTGTGTTGTCTTTCCCTTCACCTAAGATAATTCTTGTCTACTATCTAGTTAGTGAATAACCCTCTCCCTCCCTCCCCACCCTCATAATCATCAAAGAATGTTTTTTTCTGAGCACACTGCTTTTAAAAGATAATTTTAAAATCATTTATATCTTGATTCCTATAAACTCAGCTAGAATTTGGGGCAAGATGCTCATCCTACAAATCAAGAAAATAGCTACAAAATTCATGTTGTCTTCTGTGAAGCCTTTCTTGGCACCATAAGCAGAGTCAGTGTTCCTTCTCTATGCTTCCGCAGTACTTTGCATATAACATCAATATAGGACTTAACATATTAAACTGTTACCTGAAAATCAATTGTATTTCTATATATTAGCAATGAACAATCCATTAACCCGTTGCTGTTGACTTGCTTTCAACTCATAGCGACCCTATAGGACAGAGAAGAACTGCCCCAGAGGGTTTCCAAGGAGTGGATGGTGGATTTGAACTGCTGATCTTCTGGTTAGCAGCCAAACACTTAACTGCTGTGCAACCAGGGCTCCAATGAACAATCAGAAACTAAAATTATAAAAAATAAAATTTACAATAGCAACAAAAAATATGAAATATTTAGGGTTATATTTAACAAAAAATGTAAAAGATCTATACAATGGAAATTATGAAATATTGCTGAGTGAAATTAAAGACCTAAATAAATAGATATATCATTTTCATGTGTTAGAAGACTTAATACTGTTAAGATGTCAGTGCTCCCCAAACTTATCTACAGATTCAAAGCAGTCTCAATCAAAATAGCAGCAAGCTTTTTTGTATATATTGACAAATTGACTCAAAGGAAAAAGAAGAATAAAGTTGGAGGGCTCATATTACTTGATTTCAAGAATTATTATAAAGCTATAGTAATTAGAACAGTATAGTATTAGCAAAATGACAGACAAATAATCAATGGAATGGGATAAAGAATCTAGAGACCACCACACAGGTAGACAACAGACTTCTGACAAAGACAAGGCAGTGGGGAAAGGATAGTTTTCTCAACAAACGGTGCAGGAAAAATTGAACAGCCAAATGCAAAATAATGACCCTGGATCCACATCTTGTACTATACACAAACATTAACTCAAAATAGATCACAGAAGCCTAAATGTAAACCCTAAAACAATAAAAATCCTGAAAGAAAACATAGAAGAAAATATGTGTTAGGCAAAGATTTCTTGGATACAACATCAAAAGCACAATCTATAAAAGAACAAATTGACAAGTTGGACTTCAAAATTAAAAATCTGTGTTCTTCAAATGATAGTGCTAACATCTAAGGCACAACAATTGGTCTCTATTCACTTGGAACAACAGAGGACGAAGGAGAGTCAGGAATAGGAGGAAAATATGGAATGTGTGGCTAATTGCCTCCATGAACAACTGCCTCCTTTGCCATAAGACCAGAAGAAGTGGATGATGCCCAGCTACCATTACTGAACATTTTGATCGAAGACTCCACAGAAGAATTCTGATCAAAAGGGGGAAAACACAGAACAGAATTTCAAATTCTCATGGACTCTAGACTTTCTGGAACCATGGAGGGTAGATGAACCCCTGAAACTACTGTCCTGGAGGGGAAAAAAAATAAAAGACACTGTTAAGAGAATGAAAAAAACAAAATACAGACTCAGAGAAATTATTTCCGAAGCATCTATCTGATAAAGGACTTATATTCAAAATATATAAAGAACTTTCAAAACTCAGCAGAAGAAAACTAATAACCCAGTTAAAAAATGGGCAAACGATCTGAACAGACACTTCAATGAAGGTGAGAGAATGTGGAGGAATTGTCACTCTTACACAATTCTGGAAAGAGCCCTGGTGGTGCAATGGTTAAGCGCTTGGCTGCTAACCAAAAGATCTGCAATTCGAACCCACCAGCTGCTCCACGGTAGAAAAGACTTGACAATCTGCTCCTGTAAAGATTACAGCCCACAAAACCCTAGGGGCAGTTCCACTCCATCACACTGGGTTGCTATCAGTCTAAATCAACTAGACAGCACACAACAAGAGCAACAACATACAGTGCTGGTGGAAAAGTAATAGTACAGCCAACGTGGAAAACAGTCTGGCAGTTTCTAAAAAGGCTAAACGTACGTCTACCATATGATCCAGTCATTGCACTCCTAGGTATTTACCCAAGAGAAAGAAAAGCATATGTCCATATAAAGCCTCGTGTACAAATACTCATAGCAGCTTTATTTGTAACAGCCAAAAACTAGAATCAACCAAATGTCCATTAACAGATGAATACAAAAAAAATACTATTCAGCAATAGAAAGGAATGGGCTATTGATATATGCAACGACATAGATCAATCTTAAATTAATTATGATGAATGAAAGAAGACAAAAGGAGAATATACTGTTGTT